TAAATAAGGTAGGACCTAGTTATCTGATGCTGTTTTCAGGAGAGCCTTGAGAAAGCCTTGCAAGGCCTGCATACATATTTGCAGGTCCGCCAGGATTTATACCCGAAATTGTTACATTTATAAACGGTCAAACCGGTTGTTCCACATAAACAGACAGGCCCCAATAGTACACGTGCGTGCCGATGATATGTCAACACCCGATATCGAGATTTTACTGGGAAATGTATAATCACACGTACTTCAGGAATAAAGCTTTCCAATTCATAGACATAAACAGACTCACGGGAAGACAGTGACATGAGACCAGATGAATTCAAGTAGGTCATATAGGAAACACATGGAATGCGGACGTACCGACCTCACATGTGCATATCACGTGCTGACACAAGTTCATAAGCTCGAGGTTGTTACGATTTTCGCTGTTGAGGGAGTTTCGCTCTGTCGATTAAATCGTGTTTACAAATGTAGTTTACTCACTATGTGAAAATAATGTTTTGTAAAATATCAAGATACCTATGAAATGCATGTGTGAGTGCACGTGAGAACAATATACCATGCGATAGCCTCTGGTCACATATGTACCTGACATGTAATTATAAATATACCGTGAGTTAGCGGACTGTGGAATGATGTGTACAAAGTGTACATGACTGAGGGTAATTTGGTTCCATTAAAGAACAATAAATTGATAATTTTGATATCATATTTTTGATTTATTTCCATCTTTTTTGTTTTATGTGAACAGAGACAACTGTCATTGTGTAAATGGCATCCCTCTGCAAAAAGTTCCGATTTTTTTTCAAGGACGATAACTCTCACCAGGAACAAAGTGATTGTAAAATGTAAAATAAATTAATTATAAAGCCATTGTGTATATTTTGTTCAATTTTCCATTCTATATGTATAGATCTTTGTGTTCTTTTTGCTTTTAGCTTGTAGATAATCATTTTTCATTTTATTAGCTCACCTGGCACAAAGTGCCAAGTGAGCTTATGCCGTGGCACGGCGTCCGTCCGTCCGTCCGTCCTCCCGTCCTCGTCCGTCAATTTTTTCTTTTAAACAACTTCTGAAGAACGGACAGGCCTAGAGTCATGATATTTGGTTGAAAGCTTCGTTGGTAGGAGCCCTACAAAGTTTGAGAACGAAAATGACCTTGACCTGTTTTCAAGGTCACAGGGGTCAAATATGTCAAAAACTTCAAACGACTTCTTCTAAAGAACTAAAAGGTATAGAATCTTCATATTTGGCTGATGGCTTCCT